TTTTCAAAATCTGCTAGTCAAATGACAGGACAGAGATGCACAGAATCAATACAAACAGGCAAATACACTCTATTGGACAAAAGTATGTAGACACCAGTGGCAGAACTATCGCCATAGCAACCCTGTTGGCCGCTATGGGGCACAGGGGGGCCCGGCCAGGATGAGGAACAAAGGGGTCCCCTGATGCCGTGCGGGCCACCTGGGTCGATATGGCATCTCAGGCTGCTGGCTGTCACTGGCAGCTGTGAGGAGGAACGAGCCGCTGTCTCTGTGCAGCGGCACGTTCCTCCCCACAGCCGCTGCTGAGTCAGTGACAGCAAGCAGCTTGCAGTAGAGGAGGTCTGGGGCCCAGCGGCGGGAGTGGAGGAGGAGGCAGGGCCCGGTGGTGGAGAAAGCTGACAGTGGATCGGGGCTGACAGGTAAGAGGTGTGCAGGGGTGTGACCACCCCTCCTGAGACCCTGCAGAGCCCACCAAAGAGAGTCTATGATGGGCTCTGCAGGGTCAATCTCAGGTGGGCTGTGTGAGGTCTCATATGGGCTCTGCAAGGGGTGTAACTAGAAATCACAGGGCCCCATACAACATTTTGCTATGGGGCCCTTTGATTTCTAGTTACGCCCCTGGTAGACACCCCTCTAAATTATTACGTTGAGTTATTCAAAGCCAGAACCATAAAGACATGGTTTCATGAGTTTGGTGTGGAGAAACTCAATTGACCCCAATCCTGCTGAACATCATTGGGATTCCAATTACGAGCAAGGTCTTCTTATCAAATCAATCTCATCCTGAGCTTCCAAATACTTTTTTGTATGAAAAGGATCAAATTCCCACAGACACACTCCAAAATCTTGTGGAAGGACTTCCCAGAAGAGTGGAAGCTGTTATAACTGCAAAGGGAGGTGGGAAGGGGGAACGTCATGTTAATGACCATTGTTTTGGAATGGGATGTCCAACCAGTTTTCATAGGAGTGATGGTCCACAAACCTTTAACTGGTATTATATTCCTCATAATTTTAATGTTGTTTTTGATCAGAAAGAGGAAATGTACTTAAAACATACAGTAAATTGCTTGATTGTGTTTATATAATGTTGAGCTGTGTATAGCATGCTCTTTCATGACTGTTTTCTGAATTAATCATTGTGTAAGAAGTCATTATTTTGGGAATTGTGTGTAGGAACAGGGATGTATTCATGGGTCAGTAAATAAGACAGAAGGGTAGCAGCATGAGACTGAAACATTTCAGTTTGTATTTACACTTTTCTTGTGTTGGTCGCTTTCAGCGCTCTGACTGCAACTTCTCTCGTCACACAGCTTGTAAGCTTCTAGGCCATGGCATCAGGCCAGGGGCCTTGCAACAGGCCAACTGCCTGCTTTTCAATGGAGCACCCCAGTCTAGGTCCTTCTAGAACCGGGCTCAGCTGTTTTGTTAAGACTTGACCCAACCCCATGACGACTAACTCACAAGGTATTGGACAGTTACTAAGACAGCCAGAACTCTCTTTACCACATCCCTGTTACAGTACACTGGAGCCTACTGAACAGAGTCTGGCAGATTATGTAATATAGAGAACCTCTGAGTACAGCATTCTAAACTAAATCAGGGCTTAGGGAATGCATTCCTATAGGTGCAACAAGGCCACTACTCAAGGATGGAGCGTAGGGATATAGCACCCAGACTGTGGCACTTTGCCAGACAAAAGGCTCCAAAGATAGACCTTCTATTCCAGGTTTTACTGCTGGCTGGGAAGATACTGGTGCCTAAATAAAGGTGGAGCTCTAAGTGTGTTGGGGGGGTGCTCTGCTTTGGTACCAACTTCAAACATGATCACATAATGGCTGCAGTACCTTCATGGTGGCATTGAGAGCCCAGATGGGGGAAGGCACCCTTGATCAATGAGTGTGTCTGTGTTTTATCAAGCATTAAAAGGTAAATATTTTAGTAAACCTGCCTAATGAAGTTCCACTTAGGTTAAACCATCATTATGCATGTTATATTGTTTTAGGTGAATAAATTATCAATTTATGATTCACAGCTATGTGGGAAAAAGTATAAACTATTTGTGGCAGGGTAGGAAGAAGGTTTTTTTTTTTTAATCAAACAGATATAACAAAATACTTTCAATGTTTTTTTTTTTTAACAAACCAAATATAGAAAAAAGTTCTTTGTTAGGGTTTACATACACCTGCCAATGAAGTCAATGTTTTTTCTTGCGTAATGGTAGAGTCGCATGGGGTTTCAAATGACAAAAGATAGTGCCGCAGCATTTTACAGTGGCAGGTCAATGTTATAAAAGGATGTGCAGACTACATTTTTTGTTATGTTATGTTTTTATTCTTAATTTCTTTTATAAAAGTGAACAGGAAACTGAAGCACCCCACAGCTCTCCCTTTACTTGTCTGTGTGTGCAGATAATCATTAGCTTTATGTATTTATTTCTTTGTATAGTCTTGCTCGTTTTAAATCTGCACCATGCTGGATGATAGATCTTGCTGGCTCCCTCTTTTACAGACAATGGAAAACAGTTGAACAAATTAATTCCATTTTCAACACACGTTTGATGTTTTTTTGGCATGTGCAATGATCAGTATAAAATGCATCTAGGAAAAAAAACAAATAGAATGAAAATGAAATGCAAATAAATAAAAGTGCAAAGTTTGTTTCAAAGAAAGAGTAACTAAAAAGTCCTTTTTTTAATACTGTTTAGGGCCCGTTCACACCAAAATTGGAAGGAGATCGCAAAGGGTCCATTGACTTGCAATTGTACCTTCCGATTTCCTTCCGCTCCATTCCGTTGTGATCCTTTTTTCAACAGATGCTAATGGTAGGGGACTGAAAAATCAATGGGTGTGATGGGGGCTAGTTCACACCAAAACCGGATGGGAATTGCAAGTCAACGCAGGGTCCATTGACTTGCAATTGTACCTTCACATTTCCTTCCAAGCCATTGCGTTGTGATCCTTTTTTCAACAGATGCTTATGGAAGGGCACCGAAAAAATGAATGAGTGTGAATGGGGCTAGTTCACACCGAATCTGTTGCACTGAAAAGAAAAGTTCTACTTTTTTTTCCCAGCGCAACAGAAAGTAATGCAATGGCACTGAGCAGTGTGAACTAGTCCTGTTCACGCCCATTCATTTTTCAGTGCCCTTTCATTAGCAACCGTTGAAAAGCGAATAACAACGGATTGGAAGGAAATGGGAAGGTACAATTGCCTTTGGGTTTTAGCAATTGCAAGTCAACGGACCCTCCATTGACTTCCAATTTCCTTCTGATTTCGGTGTGAATGCACCCTAAAAGTAAACCTGTTGCTTTGCCTTGCTTGATAAAGCACAGGTCCACAGAAAAGATGATGATTAACTTCTTTGACTTATTCAACTGTTTATGAGTAATCTGAACTTACGTTATTGTGCTGTGTAAACAGACATGCTTATGATTAGGAATGCACCAATATAGTTTTTCGGTGTCAAGTACAAGTACTGATATTTATCTTTCAGTACTCGCCGATACCGAGTACCGATACTGGTACTTCTGCTAGCATGGAGCTGGAATCTCAGCCAATCAGCATAGAGCCAGCTTACCGGCCAATCATAATGCAGGGAAAGGCACCAGAATTTACATGGTTGAGCCATCAATGGAGGTAGTAGATGCTGATGCTCCATCTGGACAGAAAATAAGATAACGGAATTGTCAAGGGGAGTACTGTTATCTCTGAGAGTGTAACGTACCTCGGCTCCGTGCCACGTCACGTGTGCGTTCCAGCGTGGAACACACCAGACAGGGAAGCCGCCGAGGGTTCCCTCCCCCGTTAGGGGAGGTACTATGCGCTCCACGCTGGAACGCGGAAGTGCGCCGCGGACGCATGACGTCACGGCCGCGGCCTATTTAAACTGTCTATGAACGCTGCAGGGTGTTCACTATTGGGTTCGCAAGACCAAAACCAACTCCAGGACCTCTTTGCTCCCAGGAAGCCTGCCTCCACTTACTCCAAGAGGACGAGCCCAGCACCCAGCACCCTGCAGACCAGTGCATAAAAGCGCAAGTATTTCTCAGTGCTCTCTGAGCCATCATATGGGACTTAGAGTTCGTCCTCTACTAGATTGGGAGTTGTGCATAACTTATGGACTGCCTATGTTATACTGCCTAGGGATCTGCATATGTAATATCTAGCCCGCTTAAACTTAGAGGTACTGTGAGATCCATAACCTGCGCTACATATCAAATATATATATATCCCGGTCTGAAGTTATATTGCGGTGACTAATTGCTCATTGGAACTAGGTACATTCCTTATACTTAGGAACCATCTGGCTTCCGTGGGGTTACGATCTAGTACCACCCACGCTACCTCTTTTTGAGTTCTTTAGGCGTCTTTGCAAGAGAGTGACGCCTGGGGTTCATTGACTGAGTGCCACCCATTAGTCACACCTCTATCCCTTGAATCCGCAGTTGCGATCCAGACCAAGCTACTTGGAACCAGCGGCTGTGACAGAGAGGTAATAAATACCTGAAAATGTTACACTTAATTAGCATGCATACCCTTAATATGACAAAATACATCTGATGCTCAATCCACTTTAAAAATATTTTGCATTTTGCTAAAAATAATTGCTTAAATATTTGCAATGTGTATGTACACAGGAAAAAAGATCTTTGTTCACTCAGAATTGGCTTTGAGCTTTTGTAGCTTGCGGCTTATCCTCTTCCATTATAGTCAGCATTGAACCAGACCCTCTTGGCTATCAGAAGGCGATACAGGAAGCTGTGTAATGTAAAACATGTGTTCGGCCACTTTATCCCGGGGAGCTGAGACCAGGAGAAGCGGCAGATGCTGGCAGTGCATCCATGTAACACACAGGCAGCCAGGCTTCAATAGAGGGAGAGCTATCCAGGAAATTCTTTGGGGCTGGGCAGGGTCTTGGCTGCAAGTTTCTAACTGGAAAATGTGAGACAGGCAGAGTAAGCTTTGGAGCTCAGGCCTTGACGGCTGGGTACAGGGAAAGTGTGTGAAGCTTCTTCTTCTCTGCTGTGCTTGTGGAGTGTTTGTTTATGTCCGGATACTGAAAGGTAAGGTCTAAATATATACTACAGGCACAGCATAGCCTTGTAGGGAACCATAGGAATAGGGCTCAGCAAACTAAGCCTAGCTGTTATATTATCTGTAATGCAGTGCTTTCTTCACATGCACGCTGTGTATTGTAGGCCTCGTTGTTCTAAGCATAGTAAGCAGTTGTCCCTGGTTTCCAGGGACGGCCTGAGTTTTGAAGATTTCTATTTAGAAATATCAAGGGTTTTTTTGCCATCAGGCAACAGCACTATTAACCATAGATCCCAGCTCTGCCCGATTGCCATAGGCACCATAGGCATTCTTCGGTTTCAAAGGGTTGTACCGGGACAATAGATCGCTGTCCCTGGAATTAAAGGGTTTCTAAACCCTCACGATTTTTGCCTATATCTACTGCTAGCAAGCAGTAGATATAGGCAAAAAGTAAGAGGTTAATATTTACCTGTGTCTTCCCGCACGCTCCCGTCCGAAAATCTGAAAATTCTCGGGCGGCCGCAAAGCATCTTGGGGCGGGCACATGCGCAGTTCGGATTTTCGGCCGGGAGATGGGGAGCGACACAAGGTGAGTATATGGACGCGTGCACCCTCATGCAGACACCGTGGGACAGGAAGTACCAGCAAGGACAGAGGAGTCAGCGCTGGATCTGAGACCCGCCGCAGCGCTGGAGAGAAGGCTGAAAACTACAGGAAAGAAGAAGCAGATCCGATTAATAGACATAATTTAAGGTAAGTGCTTTAATTTACATTAGGGGGGAAGGAAAAAACTGTTTGCCTTTAATGTCACTTTAACCTGGTTCCTGTCTGTCCTCTTTTTTTCCTGTCATCTTCAGACTTTTTAAAAACAATGGTATCTTTTTAATTATTTTTCTTAAGGTAGATGCAAAATAAATCAGCTTAATGTAATCATTTTTAATGTGATAATTAAAAAAAAATGTTTGTGTATAGTTTGTATTTACATGGGGCAGCTGTATTTGCTTCTTACTTGGCTTTCTGCTTTGCAGTACTACACGGTGGTTGTGCTTTACTGCTCCTTCTCACAATGCCAGTCTACTATTAAAAAAAGCGCAGAGCGCCCCGACATGTGCAGAATCGCTTTTTTTTTTTTAAATCAAAATTTTATTAAATGTTTCAATATATAACAAAAAGAAAAACAAATGTATCATTATCAGGTTACATACAAGGTGCATATGCCAGTATAACAAACAGCATATATGTAATTTGTTCCTAGTAATAAGTGTCGCCATCTCACCATACCAACTATTGCATGGCGAGGACAGGTAACGTAAAGGTCAGGAATCGGCAAGGTGCGAAATCTGGTCAGGATATCGGTCAGGAAGGGAGAGCAAAAAAATATTTTTTTTTAAAAAAGAACCTAGTCCGAATCCAGGCGCAGATTCCCCAGTGCACCCGACACATCTGCTTTTAAATACCAATTAGTGTATCTAAAGGGCAGTACCAGGTGGGCGACTTCCATTGCTGAAAAAGATTTTACAATAAAGTATTTCCATTTCTGGAAAAAGGATGAGGTATGGCTATCCTTATGCATCTCAGCATCTAACCTTTCTTTAGCCAGTAGTGATTTCAGGTCATTTATGAGTTTCCGGAATCCTCGGGACTGTTGGGGCATTCCAGTGTCTCATAAGACATCTCCTACCCACCAGGAGACATATGTGTATCCAATCAAGGTCTTTATAGTTGGCAGTTAGGTTAGGTATTTTTTCAAGCAGGAACAGGACCCAGAGCCATCCTTATAATGAGGCTGCCTGAGGCGGTTGCCTCAGTTGGCATCTCATTGGGGG